CCCAGATTTCCCCAATCTCTGACTCTCAAGTCTCCAAGCACTCTTCCTGCCAAGGCTACTGGGCATCAGAGAAAATCTCTGTTCTTTGGCCTCTGACCTTGGTGGCCATGGACATCATTCTCCTTCAAAATAGAGAGGTGGAGGCCGCTCCCTGGAGCAGGGACGCAGGAGTTAACCACAAACGGGGGCATGGGAGGGTCTTTAAAGGCCGGATGATTTCAGCTCCATGGCAAACTAGAATATTCCCCCCATATTTCCAGGTGTCCAGTTGGAAATTGTTGGGGGCTTCAGTGGGTCAGCTTTCTCCATCAAGGGAGGACTTGAGCGAGTTGCTCAGACTTTCTAAACCTCAGTTTCCTCCTCTGTGAGATGGAACTAATATTTGATAGTAGTACCCGCTTCAAAGATTATTATGAGTTTATTTCTATTTTTATTTTTTTGAGACAGTGTCTCGCTCTGTCACCCAGGTTGGAGGGCAGTGGTGCGATCTCAGCTTGAAACTGCCTTTGCAAAATTATGACCGAGACAGTGAAAGAGATCGAACTTAACTGACTCCATCTTGCTTCTAACCTCCAAGCTGTCCTTGTTCATTCCTTGGCAAAGGCTGAACTAACTTTGGAAGAAACCTCTATATATAGTTTATAGTTTAAACAAAGACAGCCCTTTCCCAAAGCAGACCTCTTTCTTGCCTGGGGACTAGACTGCCTTTGTAGGACTAACATTAGCCACAAGATTAGAAATTATGGTTTAGGAGTCATGTAGCTGGAGGCTACAAGATTCTAACCTTCCCTAAACTAAGACCAGTGCTTGAGATTCTTTTTTCTTTCTTTCTTTTTTTTTTTTCTAGACAGAGTTTTGCTCTTGTTGCCCAGGCTAGAGTGCAATGGTGTGATTTCAGCTCACCACAACCTCCAACTCCCAGGTTCAAGCGTTTCTTTTGCCTCAGCCTCCTGAGTAGCTGAGATTACAGGCATGCACCACCACACCCGGCTAATTTTGTATTTTTAGTAGAGATGGGGTTTCTCCATATTAGTCATGCTGGTCTCGAACTCCCGACCTCAGGTGATCCACCTGCCTTGGCCTCCCAAAGTGCTGGGATTACAGGCGTGCGCCACCATGCCCGGCCAGTGCTTGAGATATTTTGCAGATCCTGCACTTGATGGATCAGCTGGCACCACTCAGATCGATAAACTGGCTCATCTGATCTTGTGGCCCCTGGACCCAAGAACTGATTCAGCCCAAAAAAACAGCTCCGACTCCCTATGATTTCATCTCTGACCAATCAGCAGCACTCCTGGCTCACTGGCTTCCCCCTACCCACCAAGTTATCCTTAAAAACTCTGCTCCCCCAATGCTCCTAGAGACTGATTTGAGTAATAATAAAACTCTAGGCCAGGCGCAGTGGCTCATGTCTGTAATCCTAGCACTTTGGGAAGCCAAGGCAGGCGGATCACCTGAGGTTAGGGGTTCGAGACCAGCCTGGCCAACATGGTGAAACCCCGTCTCTACTAAAAATACAAAAATTAGCCGGGAGTGGTGGTGCATGCCTGCAATGCCTATAATCCCAGCTACTCAGGAGACTGAGGCAGCAGAATCGCTTGAACCCAGGAGTCGGAGGTTGCAGTGCGCAGAGATCGCACCATTGCACTCCAACCTGTGGGCGACAGAGTGAGACTCCGTCTCAAAAAGAAAAAAAAAAACCAAAAAACAAAAAATAAAACCCTCCAGTCTCACGTACAGCCGGCTCTGTGTGAATTACTCTTTCTCTATTGCAATTCTCCTGTCTTTTATTACCCACCCACCCCCCACACCCCCCTGTAGCTGAGATTACAAGCGCCTGTCACCATGCCCAGCTAAGTTTTGTAATTTTAGTAGAGACGGGGTTTCACCATGTTGGCCAAGCTGGTCTCGAACCCCTGACCTCAGGTGATCCGCCCGCCTCGGCCTCTCAAAGTGTTGGGATTATAGGCGTGAACCACCACGCCCGGCCTATTATTAGAGTTTAAATGAGAAAAGGACTGGAGAGTAATGGGCTCGTCATAAAGCTCAATGAATACTAGCTGCCGTTTTCTTACTCATATTACACCAGTTCGCCCAGCTCCGGCGTTCGTGGCTGCTACCTTCACAAAAACTTGTGGTCGTCGTGGTTCTGGTTTTGCGATAGCTGGTGAGGCTGTGGCTCCCTCGCGTCTCTTCTGGGCCAGCCGCCCGAGTCCAGTCCAGCCACGCGGTGGCGTTGGAGGGCCGTCCCCGCCCCCGAGCACACGGCCTCTGCGCCAGGCACCACCCCAACTCCTTTCCAGGATGGAAAAGAGGCGCGGGGCGTCCCCTTTTTCGCTTTGCCTCTACGCGCCACCGTACAGAGGCGGCAGCGGCGTGCAGTCCACCGCGACCCTGGAATTCAAACGGCAGGATCGGGGGCCTCAGCCTGGCAGGATTCATTAGATCTCCCCAGACACACACCTGTCCCCACTTTGCAGATGGGGACGCTGAGCCCCCAACGGAGGCGCGCCCTCCAGAGGCCAGCAGACTGTCTCCGAATCCCAGCAACAGCTAGGGGGATTCCTGATACCTGCGAGTCCTTTGCGGGGAGAGAGGAGGGTGCCCGCAGACTCGGACAGATTCCTGGCCGGCGTGGGGCTCCTGGAGTCCTGTGGGGCGTCTGTGGCACTGCTATTCGTGCAAGGAGGAGATAAAGGCCAGCTGGAGCGCCGCAGGCGGGAGGGAGGCTGCGGCAAAAGAGCCCATTGCCCCACCCGCACCAGTCTTTGGGAAGAGACCCTAGAGAAGGGCCTGGACTTGCATCTCGCCCAGGCATTCTCGAGAAGGTTCAGGAAGGAGTTGCCTCTCTGATCTCCCCCAATCTGGGTCCAAGCCCCACTCTAGACCCTCGGGCCGTTCTCAGCGCCCCTCCCAGGAAATTTCGGTGTCAGCCTCGGGAATCTGAGCCGTTCCAGCTCTTTCCCTCCCTGGCTTAGTCATATTCTCATTCTCATTGTCTCCCTCCCTCGTCCTTTCATTCCAGACTAGCCTTTTCCTTATTATTAGATTTGGTGACTTGAAAATTATTTGAAAATACCCCCACACAATTTTTTTTTTTTTTTTTTGAGATGGTCTGGCTCTGTTCCCCAGGCTGGAGTGCAGTGGCCCGATCTCGGCTCACTGGAACCTCCACCTCCCGGGTTCAAGCAATTTCTTGCCTCAGCCTCCCGAGTAGCTGGGATTACAGGCGCACGCCACCACGCCCGTCTAACTTTTGTATTTTTAGTAGAGATGGAGTTTCACCATCTTGGCCAGGCTGGTCTTGAACTCCTGACCTCGTGATCCACCCACCTTGGCCTCCCAAAGTGCTGGGATTACAGGCGTGAGCCACCATGCCTGGCCAAAAATACCCTTTCAAACGGTCACACCTGGCCAAAAATACCCTTTTAAACTGAATTTGTCCACCTTCCCACCCGAATGGGATAGAGAGGATATGATACATGCACAAGGTGAAGAACTTGTTTTCCCCATTGGAAGAAGACTTCAATTTCAGCCTCCTCCTCCGGAGACCAGTCTCCCTGGGAGAATAATTAAGCTTATAATGCCTCTTCAGCCCTTACCTTCTGCGAAGCAGCAGCAACTTGGGTGAAGGATGAGGCCTCTTGGTGCTGCTGCCAGACACCTTCTGGCTCCCATGGACATGCAGGCTGGCAGACCTCGCCTCCTGGGGCATCTTCACCCAGGAGCAGGGGGTGGGTGGGTCAGACCCTGCTGCTTCATACCTCCTTTGCCCTCTACCCTGCCCTCCCGCCTGCAAGCTTCAGCCTTGGGAGCATTTCGGTGGAGGAGGTGGCCATGCCTGTTTGTTTTTGTTTCGGGTTCCAGAGCACCAAGGCAGGAATGAGCTCTCTCATCAGACACTTCCAGCATTAAGTTGGGTCTGGAGGTGTCATGGGGACCTGAGAGAACTGATAGACCTAACTCCATGTGACAGACGTCGTACAGGTGGGTAAATTGAGGCCCAGGGAGAGGAAGAGGCTTGCACCCAGAGATCTTCTTCCTCCGCCCTCTGGCTACAAAGGAGAGCCGCAGTTTGGTTTGTCCTTGTTCTTTTTGGACTGTGAGGCTTGCCGTCTTCAAGAAATCCTTAAAAGTTAGATTAGTGACCACCTGCTCAGCCAGCTTCAGCGTCTGGCATTTCTTTGGCCCAGGAAAGCTCGCCGGTTCAGCTTTTTCCTTAATCCAGCCAACTGTGGGAACAAACTCCAGCCCACAGAGGCGGGCTGCATTCTGGCTTCCACCACCTGGGGGTGTGTGTGTGTGTATTGGGGTGGGGGGCTGACCCGAGGAGCCACCAAGACGTTCATTGGCTGGCAGCTTGCCAGGTGGGGCCAGAAAAGGATCTCAGCAGGGTCTCTTCACCCACGGTCAGCTTCCTGCCAGGATCCACATTTTCTGTTCAGTGTCTCCCGTTAGGACGAGACGATATGATTCTAATCTTTGGGTACCATCAGCTGGTATATCAGTTTATTTGGAAGCCCTGAAGAAAATGAGGGGCATACTTTAAAGATATACAGATTTGGGCTGGAGCTAGAAAACTCAGGAACATTCAAGAATATTCTCAGCATCTCCTTCTCTTTTGTACCTCCAATAACTGGCTTCTTTGCTTCTATGTATTTCCCATTCATAACTTGGCTTGCAAGTAGCTTGGTTTGCCATGGCCCTAATTCCAACTCATGGCATCCTTATTTTTTTCAGTTCCACTGGTAAATTCTCTCCACAATTCTTAGCTGAAATTCCCAGTCCATGGCCAGCCTGGTGATTGGCTGCCGTTGGATCCAGTGTCCACTCTAGTCTAATCAGTTCTGTGCTGGTGGGTCACATGGCTTAAAACTTGGCCACTTAGGCAACACAGTCCACAGAGAATGGATTGCAGGTATTCTGGGATTAATCAAGAGAGGGATTCAGAGTCATGGGTTGTCTCAGTGACCGAGAATCAGGTATAAATCACATTGGAGGAGGATATTACACAAAGAAAAAGATTTTATTGTCTTCCTAGCCAATATCCCCGGCGAAATTAGAGGCATAGCTTGAGACTGGTCACAGTGCAATACAGACCCTCAGGAGCTGCTTTGAGGACTGGCCTGCCCAGATGCCTGCGGTTAAGCCAGCAGCCCCCTCACTCCCGCCCCTGCCATCTTGACAGACGGAGCTACCATGGTTTCAGGGACACTTGGCAGGGCATCTGGGTTGGTCCCTCCCACATGGACCTTGTAAAGTTGCTATTCAGGGGAACCTGGTATCGTTTCAGGCAAAACACAGAACCATATTAGCATTTCTAAGCCCCCTACCCCGGCCATCTCCCTGGAACATTTGGGCTTGTCACACATTCCAGGAGGGAGCAGCAGCACAGCTGCAGCCACAGCTGCCAGGAACAGGCCTGGGCTCCCGCCCTGTGTGGGGGGAGGGCAGAGGGTGGAGGGCTTCCTCTGGGGGCTCTGAGTAAACTCACCCTCACTCCACCTCTCTGACTTCATCCATCCAAGGCTGCTTGGCCAAGAGCCCAGGCAGGGTGAGGGGCTGTCTCCCAGCCCGGGCCTGGGCTGCCTAGCAGAGGTGGGGGAGGGAGAGCTTCAGGCCTAGCCCAACTCTCCAGAAACCAGGGGTAGCCTGCTGAGCTCTGAAATGCCAGAAGTTTAAGAAAAGAGGGAAGGGGGCAAGAGGTGGTGGTAGTGGTACTTTGCTATTTAAAGGTAGAAGAATGCAAGGAAGTAAAGCTTTTTTTCTCCATTTGTTCTTTGGCGACCCCATTGGAGAATTCCAGAAGGCACGCAGGATGACATCATGTTTTACAACTGAGAAATCTCAGTAATTCTGTAAAATGGAGCCCCTGCCTGCTCCATGTTCCTGATGGAAGCTGCTTTATATTTATGTGCTTAAAGCTGTATTTTATGTCACATTTAAATGAGGGTTTAATAATCTTAATTATCTACCAAAAGTAGATTACGGCGCATGAAGATCACATAAAATGAACTTCACTTCTCAGCATCACAAACATTTGGAATACAGAAAGTCCAGGGATGGATATTAGAAGTAAGAAAAGTACAAAAGAAGTTTGCTTAAAAATAACAAAAAATTTAAAAAACGGATTCCCCGCCCCCCCCCAATCCAAATAATCGTGGTCTAGGTAACGATCGGGATAAACGCTTCCTTTGCTCACTCCTGTAGTAAGAATGAGCTCACGCAGAACTGTATGCCCAAGTGTGTGTACCAGAAACACTCACATGCATCACACACACAAGCACATACACCCACAGGGACAGACGCACAGCCGGGTTTTGGTTGTTCTAGGCACTTCATATCCACGTTCTTAAGTCTGCCACCTTCCCATTACATTTAACAAGTTACTTCTTTGGTGGCAGGACGTTTTCTTCGAAGAAGCCCTCGTTGACAACATTCCCTGCTGGGAAGTATCTGGCCACCACAAAGGAGGATCCGTCACTTGCGGACGCCTTCCCCACGCCCATCTTCTTTGTGTTCTTCCATACCATGGCCGTGAAGTGTCCTGCAGGGGAACGGGCAGAGGGAGAGGGACACGGCTGAATTAGCAGAGCCTGAAGAAGGATGTGGCAAGGGATTGTTGAACCCCTGTACCATCTTGCCAGGCTCAGGTTAGCATGGTCTTCACAGACCCCCTGCAGGGAAAGGAGAGACAAAACGCTCTGACTGCCTGACTTCTTTTTTTTTCTTTCCCAAGATGGAGTCTTGCTCTGTCGCCCAGGCCAGAGTGCAGTGGCGTGATCTTGGCTCACTACAATCGCCGCCTCCTGGGTTCGAGTGATTCTCCTGCCTCAGCCTCCCAAGTAGCTGGGACTACAGGTGCATGCCACCACGCCCAGCTAATTTTTTTGTATTTTTAGTAGAGATAAGGATACACCATGGTCTCGAACTCCTGACCTCAGGTGATTCACCTGCCTCAGTCTCCCAGTGCTGGGATTACAGGCGTGAGCCACCGTGCCTGGCCAGACTGCCTGACTTCTAAAGCAGGTCCTTTCCATCAGCCACACTGACCTTACCCACCTCACCACCTTCCAACAGTCTCCCAGAGATCACGACAAAGCCCAGTGGCCCCAACAATTAGGATGCCACTTTACCTAGTGCCTGTGTCTAACTCTGTCCCCAAGCTGCAATCTCGAAGCTCTCCGGTGATCCCCTTTTGTCTTCATCTTACTGGACACCTGATGAACACTTCCTACTCTTCTCCTTTTCAAGGCACCCCTCCCCCTTTTGGTTTCTAGGATGCCACAGTCTCTTGCCATTCCTCCTGTCTCACTGCCTCCTCTTCCTCCTCCTCGCCCTCACTTATAGATATTGAAGGACCTGCACTTCCCAGGGCTTAATCCTGGGCTTTTTTCTTTTCCCTTTAAGCTCTCTTTAGGGAATTTCGTCTTTCCCTGGCTCCCAAATTTATTTCTCCAGCTCAAATCTCTGCTCTGTGTTTCAGACATAACTAATTACTGGACATTTCCACATGGATGACTCATAGGCATCTCAGATTTAACCTTTCCAAACCTCACTCCCAGTTTTTGTCCCCCTAGATTTATTCCTCTCCCAGTCCTCCCATCTCCATCAGCGGTACCTCTGTGCACACACTGCCACGGGGAGTCTGCATTCCTCCCTCTCCTTCCTTTCCCCCACAACAACCTAGCATTCAGTCTTGAAGAATCCAACTCTAAAATGCATCTCAGGTCCACCCACTCCCAAACCCTTGGTCCCAACTGCAAACTTCTCTCACATGGACCATTGCAATAGCCTCCTGACTGGTTCTATGGCGTCCACCTTGGCCCCTCAAATTCATTTTCTTTTTTTTTTTTTTTTTGAGACGGAGTCTTACTCTGTCACCCAGGCTGGAGTGCAGTGTCATGATCTCAGCTCACTGCAACCTCTGCCTCCTGGGTTTAAGTGATCCTCTCACCTCAGCTTCCTGAGTAGCTGGGACTACAGGTATGTGCCACCACGCCCAGCTATTTTATTTTATTTTTTTTGTATTTTTAGTAGAGACAAAGTTTTACCATATTGTCCAGGCTGGTGTTGAACTCCTGACCTCAGGTGCTCTGCCCACCTCGGCCTCCCAAACTGCTGGGATTACAGGTGTGAGCCTCATTTTCTACTTAGTATTCAGAGTGACCATTTTGAGATATAAATCATATCTGTTTACTTCCCTGCTTAACAGTCCTTCACTCGCGCCCCAATCCACCTAGAATGAAAGTGAATCCTTTGGTGCAGTGGCCTCCTCTCCATTCCTTGAACACACCAGGGTGTGTCCCACCACAGAGCCCTTGGACATTTTTTTTCTTCTCTTTTCCTTCTTTCTTCTTCTCTTTTTTCTCTCCCTCCTTCCCTCCTTCCCTTCCCCTTCTCTTTTTCTCTTCTCTTCTCTTCTTTCTGACAGGATCTCTGTCACCTAGGCTGGATGGAGTTCAGTGGCGCGATCATAGCTTACTGCAGCTTCTACCTCCAGGGCTCAGGAGACCCTCCCACCTCAGCTTCCTGAGTAGCTGGGACCACAGGCACATGCTGCCACTGCCAGATCATTTTTCAAAAATTATTTGTAAAGCCAGGCACCATGACTCATGCCTGTAATCCCAGCACTTTGGGAGGCCAAGATGGGTGGACCATCTGAGGTTGGGAGTTCGAGACCAGCCTGACCAACACGGAGAAACCCATCTCTACTAAAAATACAAAATTAGCCAGGTGCGGTGGCATGTGCCTGTAATCCCAGCAACTCAGGAAGGCTGAGGCAGGAGAATCACTTGAACCCAGGAGGCCGAGGTTATGGTGAGCCGAGATGGTGCCACTACACTCCAGCCTGGGCAACAAGAGCAAAACTAGGTCTCAAAAAATATATATATATATTATATATATATACACACACACACACACATATTATATATATTTGTAGAGACAGGGTTTCCCTATGTTGCCTAGGCCGATCTTGAACTCCTGGGCTCAAGTGATCCTCCTGCCTTGGTTTCCCAAAGTGCTGAGATTACAGGTATGATCCATCACGCCTGGCCGAAACACTCTTCTGATGACCAACAACTTCTTGTCCCTTGGTCTTAGCCTAAATATCACTTGTTCAAAGAAGTCATTTGCAAACACCCTTTTATTTATTTATTTTTGAGACGGAGTCTCACTGTTGCCCAGATTGGAGTGCAGTGGTGTGGTCTCGGCTCACTGCAACCTCTGCCTCCTGCGTTCAAGCAATTCTCCTGCCTCAGCCTCCCAAGTAGCTGGGATTACAGGTGCACACCACCATGCCCGGCTAATTTTTGTATTTTTAGTAGAGACAGGTTTTACCATATTGGTCAGGCTGGTCTTGAACTCCTGACCTCAGGTGATTCACCCGCCTTGGCCCAGCCAAGTTTTGGTATTACAGGTGTGAACCACCATGCCCAGCCTGTAAACACCCTTTAATTTACTGAACATCTCCCTCCCAAGACATTCTTACCACACTGTTTTTTTCCCCTACGTACCATTCTTCCCATTTGTGTGATGCATTTGCTTGATTATTTGTTTACTGTTTGGCTCCTTCACCAGACTATGAGTCCATATGGGCAGAGGCCAAGTTTGTTTTAGTCACCAAAATACACCCAGTACCTTGGCATAACCTGGCACATGGAAAGTGTAAAATAAACGTTTGAAAGAATGAGTGGAATCGATGAATAAAAGTAATATAGAAGATCCATCTCGGACTCCAGTTCTGCCTTCACTGGAAGTACAGCCTTCTATGTTTTGAGCTTTTTGAGATTTCGACACGTTGCAGCCTCGTTCAAATCCTTCTGCTCTGAGCCAAACATCTCAGTTCCTTTTCAAGCTACTTGCTCCAGCTCCAGACACCACCAGGTCTTGCTGAGGCCTATTAGCATCAGTCTCTCATTTCTCAGACTGCCTGTCCTTTCCTCTCTGGTCTTTTCAAGCTACGAATATAGCTTAGCTTCCAAATCTCCTCCCATTTGGGAGTCAAAGAGTTGATGCTGTAATGCATTCCTTGCTCAATGATCATAAATTTTTTTTTTTTTTTTTTTTTTTTGGAGACAGAGTCTCACTCTATTGTCTAGGCTGAAGTGCAGTGGCACGATCTCAGCTCACTGCAACTTCTGCCTCCTGTGTCCAAGTGATTCTCGTTACTCAGCCTCCTGAGTAGCTGGGACTACAGGTGAGTACCACCACGCCCAGCTAATTTTTGTATCTTTAGTAGAGATGGGGTTTTGCCATGTTGGCCAGGCTGGTCTCAAACTCCTGATCTCAAGTGATCTGCCTGCCTCAGCCTCCCAAAGTGTTGGGATTACGGGCGTGAGCCACTGTGCCTAGCATAAATTCTTATTTGTTGGGGAATAGAGGCAGGGTGTTCATCTCTTCCATCTTTATGGTTTAGCATTTACAGAGATCAATGAGACATTTGTTTTCTGTGTCACAGGATAACATTCATTTGCTAAAGCAACACTGAAGAGATTGCTCTCTCCTAAATATCTGGCTTATGATTGAGCAAGCTATATGAGGGCAGGTGCCACATCTGTTTTACTGATCACCATACACCTAGTGTTTAGCACTGGGCCTGGCACATAGTAGATGCTCAATAAATATTTGATGAAGAAAGGAAGAAACAGAGGGAGGGAGGGAGGAGGAAAATCATGATCAGAGTAGCTAAGATTCCCATAGGGTGGTTAAGAAAGAAAAAGGGCAACCACTTCACACCCAGTAGGATGGTTATTATAAAAAACAGAAACAAAAATAATAGACTATAACAAGTTTTGGCAAGGAAGTGGAGAAACTGGAACTGTTGTGCACTGCTGATGGGAATGTAAAATGGCACAGCTGCTCTGGAAGACAGTACGGCAGTTTCTCAAAAAATTAAACATAGAATTGCAATGTGATTTAGCGATTCCACTTCTAGGTATATACCCAAAAGTACTGAAAGCAGGGATTCAGATATTTATACACCCATGCTCCCAGCAGAGAGGTTAAATGATTGGCCCAAAGTCACACAGCCCGGCCGGGCGCAGTGGCTCACGCCTGTTTTCCCAGCACTGTGGAAGGTTGAGGTGGGTGGATCACTTGAGGTCAGGAGTTCGAGACCACCCTGGCCAACGTGATGAAACCCCATCTCTACTAAAAATACAAAAATTAGCCAGGTATGGTGGCGCACGCCTGTAATCCTAGCTCCTGGGGAGGTTGAGGCAGGAGAATTGCTTGAACCTGGGAGGCGGAGGTTGCAATGAGCCAAGACTGCGCCATTGCACTCCAGTCTGGGTAACAGAGTGAGACACCATCTCAAAAAAAAAAAAAAAAAAAAAGGGAGAGACCAATTTTGTCTTTGGGACAGGACATCGCACTTAGTAGGAATTTCATTATTTGTTGGGTGGACATACAATAGGCACTTAATGCCTATTTGCAGCGTTGACACCTAGTAGGTACTT